ATAACACATTCCTCAAGTGCTCCGAGTTTCTGACCAACGGTGAGAAAGTTCTATAGCTGTTAGACTTCTCTTTCTGCACACTCACTGACAGTGACATTGAAATTAGGTAGCTTTTATGTATAGATCCCATACAGACAAAGCCCTCCACAGAGACTTAATCTGGAGACTTCATGGAGGGCTAGTTCTTGGATATGCAGAAGACTTTGGTGGCATCCTTGGCTCCCTCATCAGTACTGACTGCTTCTTGTTTGAGGGACTGATGGTTCCGTTCTTTCCCCCCTAGTTGAGAGCCTCTTTTCTCCATTCTTCTGCCTCTATGGCAAACTTCCTACACTGCGAGCCCCTGCCAGTGTCTTCTTTTTCTTAATCTCTCTCTCTTTGCCAGGGCCAGCTCTTGGACATGAGATCTGCCTAGTCACACATAGGAGGACTGTGCTTAGTTTCATGCTCTGCTGACACCGACGTGAAATTCTTTTTCAAATAATTTTTAAAAAATAATTTATTTTTCAAATTTATTTTCGAACAAGGCGTGTCACATATTAATTTTGCACTGGGTCACACAAATCATGTAGCCAGTCTTGCTCCTTGCTGTCTACATTGACACGGGAGAAGACTCACGCCATGCAGGGTATGAGTGAGAGATGTAGCTGTTTTCTTCTTCTTTGGACCTCAGCAAGTATTTTCCCACAGAGGCAATCCATAAAGGTGGATGATGCTAATGATAGCTCCATCCTCCTTAGCCTCAGTTTCCTCGTCTCTAAAATGGGGAGGGTAGCACTTATCCTTGCATGTTATTGTGAGCATTGAGTGGGATCATGTATAAAGTACCTAGCAGAGTGTCTGGTGTACACTAGGTGTTTGCTACATGAAATCAGTGGGAGACAGCAGGGACAGCAAAAAAGAGCTTGAACTCTGGAGTTAAGGGCTAGGTCAGAAATCAAATGAGCCTCACTGCTTGAAAAAAAATATGACCTCAGTTAGGTGACTTGGTTTCTTCCAGCCTCAGTTGCCTTATCTGTAAGATGGAAATGCTAATATTTATCTTGATTTAAATAATTTAATGTATTTAAAGACCCTGGCTTGCCACCTGGTATCTAGTTAGATCTCAAAATTGATAATAGTTATCATTTTGGTTCCATGGCTTTGTTTTTAATACTATTTCGACACATAAAAAAAAACATTTACAAATGACATTTGAGATATGACCATTAATAAGTTCCTAAATACTATACAACTTTTTGTATACTATATTACCTACTAAATGTAACCTCCTTGCATGTTAAAATAACATTGTAAAAAATATTTAAGCATTATCTTTCCTTCTTTGCTAGACTATGAATTCCTTGAAGGCAAAGACCGTGTCTTATTTACCTTTTTTCCTAGAACACGTTGTAACACATGTTAGAATCTAAGTTGAATTAAATCTCTTCTGTCCTTTATGCCAACAAAGAGATGATAATTTTCATAACACTCCTAATTAGCAATTAATAATTAGCCTATCAATGACTAGGGGGTAGAAGTGGCTGAAAATAGCCCCATCTCTGCCTTGAAGACCTTTTTATCCTCGACCATCATACATGGCTCATATTTCTGCCTCCTTGGGTCTGGTTCTTGCTCCATTAACAAAGCTATACTATCAGAGAACATAACTTAGTTATTTGCAACCAACTACCTTCCCTGGCAACAACCAGTGTGGAGAGACTAGTGGGTTTCAATTTCCTGAAGCCTCAGCAATTGAGTCATAATTTGATGCCTCTTAGGATTCAAAGAGGCCTCAGAACTGTGGCTTTTAACACTTTGGGAGCTATAGGTCCCTTTAAGAACCTTCTGATAGCTATGAACATTCTTTTCAGAAAATACATTCAATATATTAGTACAATTCCAAGGTGTTCTCAAAACCCCTGAAGCCTCCAGACCCCAGGCTAAGAATTCATGTTAACAAAGCCAAGAAAATGGAATCGTCAACGTGAAATATTCAACTTTTCTGATAAATTGTAGCCCGGACTAGTCATACTCCCTTATTGAAAACAAAACAAAACAATCACAACTCCCTAGATTCAACCTCAAGGTTGTCCCAAGAGCCCAGACCCTGGCAGTAATGCTAAAGGCTTCCAGCCAAGAACCGACTACTCTTTGGAGAACCTAAGTTCAGCTGGGTAAAATGAAGCCTTGTTTGATAATATCGTTTACATTTCCAAATCCTGGGTATCAAGCTTTCTTCCTATCCCTTGCGGCCCTTCCTAAGTTTAGCCGCTGGTGTAATGGGGTAACCATGGCAACAACCACCTGCCTATTTAAAACCATCTCCAATGCTAAATAAGGAAGCCTGAAGAAAATGGCTGCTTGCCTGCCTCTCAGTGGACAAATTGGGCACTCCTGGGTATTTTAGACATGGGCAAGCAGGCTGGATAGAAGCAGTATGTTCTGAAAGTTCTTAGTAGGAAGTGTTTGGTGACCTTGTCAAATAGGTGCTACCTCAATCCTTTCATGTCTTCACTTGTTAGGAAAGCACATAGATTTACATGCAAATCCATGTGCCTGTCACCCAAGAGACCGTACTACCTTGACTCCAACCAGGTGAAGGGTGAGGTAATGTCAAAGAGTAGTCTTGTTAACGGGATCTGGGAAGTGGGAAGGGAAGCCAATTATACAGGTCACAGTAATTTGTTCATATTTTTTGCATTAAAATGCACACAACAATTTTTTCTGACAGTTGTATCTTTCTATCTATACTTAACCATGTGGATGATAGATGATTGCTGTATTTATGTCATGTTGACCTGTCTAGTGATTTTTGGAATATGGAGAAATTTCCCCCTCCCTCTGCTTCCTTGTCTTCTACAGATCACAAAGGTTCTGCTTCTTACTCACACCAAGAGGCCATACAGCTGAACACACTGAGTGGTTGGTCCTTTCCCAGGCATACGGCACTCCTTTGAATCTTTTTGTACATTTGGTTCCTTCTCCCTGGATTACCCTTCTCTTTTTTCTGTGTCTTGGTTTGGGCACCTCTGTTGTCAGAAAACTCTCCGTGTCCTTGCTTTGTGTTTCCAGAGGTTGCCTCTAGTCACATTACACAAACCATTATGCACAACCATTTTCTAGCCTATTTCTACCACTGGGCTATGAGTCTCTTACACAGTTCTGTCCCAAACACCTACAGAACAGTGTCTAATGTAAGGTATGCTTTCAGAATAGACTGTTAAATGAATGAATACATTAATGAATGAACAGACCTCCATGGATTTCAAAGCATGTAGCATCTTAATAGATATATATGAGTAGGTAAATGGTGCTTGTTTAATAGTGCACGAGCATGTATTAATATAAGGGATTTACTTGTATGAAAGAAGACCTAAAAGTCTAAGGAATGGATGGAAGAGGAGTACTTTTTTAAAAAAGCAAGTGTGTATGTGTATATGGGAGTGGAAAATACTGTGAGAGGATAAGTACTTGAATTGTAAGTTTGTGGCAGGGTGTGGTGGCTCATGCCTGTAATCTCAGCACTCTGGGAGGCTGAGGCGAGAGCATTGCCTGAGCCCAGGAGTTCGAGACCAGTCTGAGCAATACAGTGAGACTTCGTCTTTACAATAAATCAGAAAATTTAGCTGGGCATGATGGTGTGTGCCTGTAGTCCCAGCTACTTGGAAGGCTGAGGCAGAAGGACTGCCTGAGCCCAGCAGGTCGAGGCCGCGGTAGCTACGAGCATGCCAAGGTACTCCAACCTGGGTGACAGAATGAGAGAAAAAAGAGTTTGCGATTGAAGTAGCAGGGGCTGGAAGTACACACATTCATAGTGTGCAGATGAGACAGCAAGAAGATGCTGTGATGGTATGCACATCCTAATAAGACTCTGCAGTTGCTGTTGGGTCCCACAGATCACTTTTCCTTAAGTCAAAGTAGCTTCATTATGTTCAGTTTCTGATCCCTGAAAAGACCTTCCTGGTAAGCCATTCAGGCTGTGGGGGGTCGGAACAAAGAGTAGGAATGAAAATGGCAAGCTCTTTTGGGGGAACTGGGCCTTAAATGAATGTTTTCAACTAACACTCTAACATCTGCTTTAAAGACAATTCTGTGGGCTAAGTAAAAGTCAATCCCTTCAGATTCAAAGACCATATACAAATTATTATCTAACCTCCTCCCCACCAGCCTGAGGTTGGAGGTGGCATCTGGTGGTCATCTTGAAATAGTACAAGAAAGAAAAAAAAAGAAAGAATAAAAATTAATCAATGAGAAGAAAAAGAGAGAAAGAAGGAAGAAGGGAGAAGGTAATTTAACAATTCCAGGGTAGCTTCATGCCAGACACAACTCAGTTCTGGCAAATTCCCTGCTGCAAGCAAGAAGGATTGGGTTTCGCTTGCTAATGACCTGGTTTTATTTTTTCCTTTCATTTTTGAACTTAATATCCAGATTTTACACCAGGTGCCCAGGCTGAGGCTGGGACTTGGTGGGCTCTGGGCTTCCAGCCTTTACAAGGGCCTCTCTGTTGCTGCCCTCTGCTGTCAGGGGAGGCAAAGGCGACGCCCTCCAGTCCTGGTCCAAGCCCTAGAGCAGCCTCCTCCTCCCGTTTGAGATAGAGATAAACTAAGGCCCCTTCTACCCTTCCCACCCTCCGCAAAGGGTAGGAGGGAGTAAGGCCATACTAGAAAGCCTCCAGGAGGGGGATCCAGTTAGGCAAGAGCAGGCCCCGACTCCCACTGTCCCGCATAGATGGGCATTTCACGCCCTGCTTTTGCTTCCCAGTCCCTCCCTCTGCACAGATCCTCTGGGTGGGGACAGGCAGCCAGCATGTGGCAGGTTTCTGACCTTTTTTTTTTTTTGAAAATGGAAACCTTCCTTCCGGCAATGAGGCAGGAAGGCCAAGTCCCTGGGGCAGTCCAAGCCAAGAACATTTCCGGAGAACAGGTGAAAGGCCTCTGTCTGGGGCGGGGTGGGGAGAGGTCGGGGTGGGGAGGCAGACTGGGTGGGTGGCAGTGGCACCAGGCCTGCAGGTCTCTTACCTGCTGTTGAATTTTTCAGGGTGTTTCTCTCTCATCATGTGGAATCTGTGTGCAATGGAAGCATCCTGAAAGTGAAAAAGAGACGGAAGCAGATCCTTGGTGAGTGGTCGTGACAGTGCAAGGTGGAGAAAGGATACACACATACCCTCGTTGAATCATGCCAGCCTGAGACTTCATCTCACAGGAAGGCTCCCTATTACAGCCGAGGTTCCGACAGAGGCTCAACACCATGTCCTTGGGGAAGACCTAGTGCCACCGGTACTCTTAGAGCCTATGCCATTTGACTCTGGAGCCTTTGCAGTTTCACTCTCAGGCCCCCTGAGAAGCAGCCAGCTCAGGAATGAGTGAAGTGGAAAGCCACTGCCCTCTGAGGAGGGTGTGCGCCTGTGAGCAGCAGTAAGAGAGCAGAAGGGGGGGATGGGTGTGAGTCTTTAGAAATGCTTTGCCATATTAACATTTAAAATGATGTTTTTATTTTGGAATATTTTGATTCATAAGAAGTTGCGAAAATAGTACAGAGTTCTGATGTCCCTTTCATTCGGCTTTCTCCAATGATAACACCTTATGGAACCATCGTGCAATGTCAAAACCAAAAACCTGACGTTGGTAGATGCAACCAGAATTGATAATCTATGAATTCTTAATCATCCATACCTATGGAAATCATTAGTGGCATTAGATCACATGACTAGTAGGTAATGAAAAGATTAAACTTCTGGCTTCTTCTTCTTGACCACGCTACTCAAAGGACTCTCTCCAGGGTCAATTCGAGTCTCACGACTCCATCCCATGGACACTTTGCTGTCCTTAGTAACACATCCCCTTGCTGTACTATCAGTCACCGGCACCTCAGAACCCAAGTCTGGATGGCTCTCCTGACACTCTGCTTCTGGGTTCTCCATCCTCAGTCCTGAGTCCTACCTGCAGCCCTATGGTAGGACTCGTGAGTTCTCATGACTGTTACCAGCTTCTAGATGCTGACGGCTCCACGAGGTATATCTCTAGAACCAATCCTGCACTTCAAACCTCAAACTTAACTTATCTTTCCTCCTCAAACTTGATGTCCCGCCCCTGTTAATAGTCTTGTTTTCCAGCAGAAGAGTGTGGAGCATCCCTTCACTGCAGCAGCCCCGTGTCACATTTTGGTTGTGGGTACTGAGTTTCAGAAATCAACATGCTAATTGGGCTGAAGGTGATGGGGGAGGGTGACAGACACCAGGGAGTTGACTCAGATTTGTTCAGAAACACAAAATACATAAACCTATTTCCTAGAATATATGGGTAAAAGACATCTGAAATTCCATACAGTGAATTTTCAGCAAATGCATACGATTCCACTTCTTATATGCAAATTTATGAATGTTGATTAAAAAAAAAAAATCATCAGGAAGTATAGTCCAGTGAAGAAACTTTCTTGAGCGTGAACTGTGTGTGTGTTGGCCTGGGAGTAACCCCAGTCTGTAGTCACCATTTAAAAAATGGGAAAAGCCAGTCAAGAAAATGGGCTTATTTTGTGATTGGCAAACATTTCTTGCTGAAATGATGTTTTGGGAGTTTAACAACTAAATTTTGGCTACTGATTTATTTTTTAGTTTTTTTATTTTTATTTTTTGAGTTAGAGTCTCACTCTTGCCCAGGCTGGAGTGCAGCGGCACTCTCACAACTCACAGCAGCCTCAACCTCCTGGGCTCAGGTGATCCTTCTGCCTCAGTCTCCTGAGTAGCTGGGACTACAGGCATGTATCACCACGCCTGGCTAATTTTTTGATTTTTTTGTAGAGATGAGGTCTTGTCATATTTTATTTTTTTAGTTTCAGACATGTCAAGAGTTGAAGGTCAGCTGGGCTGGGTGGCTCAAGCCTGTAATCCTAGCACTTTGTGAGGCCAAAGCAAGGGGATTGCCTGAGCCTGCGGGTCTGAGACCAGCCCGGGCAACATGGTGAAACCTTGTCTCTACAATAAATCAAAAAATTGGCCAGGCATGGTAGCGCACGCCTGTATTTCCGGCTACTTGGAAGCCTTGGGTCCTATATACCTGCACAGTTTTTCCAGGCAGCAGTGCTTCATGCACCAGACTGGGCCCACAGCCCTCTCTCTGAACAAGCTTCAGGGAACACCCTCGGTAACATTCATTTGACATCTGTCAAGTGCTTCTTTAGAATTCAAGAAAACATTCCATCTACGTGTATTCCTTTGAAGCACTAATTTTCTTCTGTCAGAAAAAAAAGGGGGGAAAGAAAAAAAGCAATCACATGTTACCTGGCACAATTTGTACCTCACTAGCCTCCACCCCCAGTCCTGCTGTGACTGGCTCCTGGCTTTTTTATTCTCTGGGACACGTGTACAGCATTCCTCCTTCTGTATAGTTCTGATTATCCTTGGCTTTCCATAACTAGGCTTTGCAAAGCTTCTTTTCACAAAGACTGGCCGTTACAATATTATTAGTTATGCAAGTGGTCCCTAATTTGACAATGCAATTTCTTGAAAAATACACAGGTAGCAAGCGAGGGTTGAGCAGCCCCTTTCCTAAATCTTAACAAGGCAATGATGGTAAAAATTGACTGTGTTTCTCAACCAGAGGATTAAAAAAGTGATTCACCTCCGCTCTCTGGAGCTTCCATGTCGGGCAATGACCTGAGCATATTTACAGCCAGTAGTGACTTCATTTAAATTTTGGATACCAGGGTTACAATGTTCAAATCCTTTCTTGGTGATAATTACAGCAAAATGAGAATTCTGTTCTGAAGTGGGGAGATGGGGATTGCAAACCCCTGGAAACGATGATGGTGTTTCTGACAGCCTCACTATCTGTCTTTTCTGTGAGGTGTGGGGTGAAGAGGAGATGATGGGAGGTCTGGACACGAGGGCACTCTTTCCTGAACAAAAACGCCAAGCCCATGGTTGGACAAAGAAATTGGGGCTCCTTCCAAATATAAGCAGCCATCACTTGTACTCTGAGACATTGGAATGTCTAGGCCAGTGCTGTCCAATGAAAATATAGTGTAAGCCATATATGTAACTTAAAATTTTCTAGTAGCCACAGAAAAAAAGTAAAAAGAAACAGATTAAATTAACTTCAATAACATATTTTAATTAACCCAACATGCACCAAATATTATCATAATAACATATAATCAATATACAAATTATCAGGGTATTTTAATTTTTTCATATTATATTTTTTGAAATGTGTTATGTATTTACCTGTGCACAACGCCACATGTGACTGATGACTACCATATTGGATAATGCAGGTCTAAATTACTTTGGTAATTTATGGAAATAGAAAAATGGAAAGGAGATGATAGAAAAGATCATTTGAAATTTGGATTGTTCTGAAAATTATGGCAGACTGGGGAATGGAAAAGAGTGTCGACCCTTTGTTCAAGTCACTCTTTAGTGAGTCCCAGTGTCTTAGTGCCTTCACGGGTCTCACAGGTGACAGATAAGAACATGATGCTAAGAGAATCCACAAGTTTGCAGGGAAAATGATGTCTTGTTAATAAATTCCCCAGTGGGTGAAATGCTTATCATTGTGGAAAACTTGGCTGGTGATATCTAATAACAATCTGCAAGGTGGAAAATGGTGTATGGTTACTGTGATGACTGTGGCCTCTCCTTGGCCCCTGCGTTCCCCTGGCATCAGAAATAGATTTCATTGAATCAAGGGATTAGCTGTTCACTCATCCTGTTAAGACTCATGAAAGCAGAGCTTGTGAGGCATTCAGAGTGATACACACCCCAGGAATTATTCCATAGTTCCAAACTTCCTGTCACTGATACCTGGCCATCCTGACATTTCTGCTAATCCAAAAATAAAGAGCGGGGAGGAGCAGGCCAGAGAAGTCAGAGGAAGTGGTGTCCTGAATGACTAGGTTTAAAATCTTTTGCTAGTAGCTATAATCAGTTAGAAGGACCAGTAAGGCCAACCACCTTAGCTCCTCACTGGTGAGAAGCTGGTGTGTAATGGGGTTGTGGTGCTGATGAGGGCGGAGTCACTCCCTGGATGGGCCAGGAGACTCGGATTTATTTATTCTTCCATCTATTGAATGGGTTCTGTTGGTATCAGAGCAAATTCTGATCCACAGCACGCAGGTCACTGTAGCCGGGTTCATTGTCATCATCCTTATAAATGTAGGGTGGCAGACATTTGATATCAGTAAGATATTCCAGGTCCTTCAAAAGAGGCAAAGACTTTGCCAGGCTCTCTTTGCCAGAGGAGTCTGACTTTATTTAATTATCCTAAGGAAGTACAACTGGGTTGGTTGACATACTTACTTCTCCTCTCACAAAGTTTGGGAAGTCAAATAGGGAGCAAGACCTTCTGCAAATGTCAGCCCCGGACTCTGTTAGGGTTGCGTGCTGGTTACTTGTTTTCTTAAGAATTTCTCCTTCCAACTTTTAAAGAGCGAGCACACAAACCCTGCAAACATTTTACTGAGAAAGCTAAGGGTACACCAATGAGATAAACACAGTCCTGACTCCTCACTCTTCTGCAATATAATATTAAACACGAGCAAGCTAAAAGTCATGGAAAAAAACATGGGGAAGGTATTGTGACATTCTCCATAATTCGAAAGATGACTAGATTGGATTATTAAAAGTCAGCCCAGGGCAGATAAACATCTTGACCACTGAGGGTGATGGAGAATCTGTTTATATGTGTTTCCCCGGGGACAATTAATTAGCTGACTGACCTCCCTACTTTCCTTTATATTTTCCTATGTATTTGCTAGATGAATTAAAATAATGATTACTGATCAGTCTTAGCTCTTAGGGCCTAGTTATCTAGTTGAGGGGAGGTTGTCTATTCTTTCATTTTTGGTGTATTCATCCATTTTATCAGCAGATACTAAGAGAGTACATCTTATACAGGGTGCTGTGTAGAGACAGAGAGGTGTTGGGAATCATGTTGTTTTTATCAGCCAGAACTGGGTGTGTGAAGAAAGGAAAAGTTGGGGGCTGAAGATTCCAGAGACAGCTGTGGCTGTAACCTTCTATCTAGAAGTTCTTCTATCAGCTCTGGCTTCCAGCCGGTTGCGCCTAAGGTCTACTTTATTCCTCTTTTCTATCTTCCCTTTCCATTTATTTCAGTCGTGGTTTCTGTGCCAGTGAAGAACCACTTCCTTTTACCATTCTTCTCTGCCCTAATGGGTTGTCTTCACTCAGAGAACTTGGTCCTGACCATCTGCCTCAGAATGATCTCAGGGGCATGTTAAAAATGCGAATTTCCAGACCCTGCCCAGACCTACTGAGTCAGAATATGAATCAGAATCTGTTGTGGGGGTGGAATTTGCATTTCTGATGAGGGGCGCGGGTGGGCCGTTGCACGCTAAATTTTGAGATTCCCTTCTTTCAAATGGGGTTGAGTTTGCAGAATTAAGATAGGGGCTACAAAGAAACCACAGAGCTCAGTAGTTTATGGCTTAGTCGGCTCTAAAGCTCAACACTAATGATGCTGGGCTCTTCCAGCCACCAGCTTGGACTTGTTTCTGTATCTCTCTAAGCTATAGTCCTTCTCACAAAACCCAAGTGGATAATGGTCATATCTACCCATAGGGAAACTGTGTCTGGTGTGCAGTAGGCATTCATTAAATGTTAGCAGGTTATACTCTGGTTACAACAGGAAAAAGACATGAGGTTTTGTAAAACTGTAATGATGGGAAGCCCACACTTTAGAACTCCTGTCAGTCATGTCTGTCTGATTTGCAGGAGCTGAAGACTGCATGTGTTCCCACTGGGGGAAGGAGTGGCTAAGCAGCTGGCCCCAAAAGGAGAGGGACCTTAGAGCAAGAAAAGGAGGAAGGGCGTCTGCATCCGTCACTGGGGGGTGTCTGGAAGAGGTCTAGGAAGATATGTCCCTCAACTGTAGCCAGGGATCTGGGGAATAAATCAGATTGGGGCAGAGGAACCCCTAAACTTGCTCCCTGTCCATCACCTACATCCTCTCAGAACCCGATTAGGGGCCCAGCAATGCCTCTCTCTTCTGTTTTAGTAATAAAGAGCATTGGATTAGGCATCAGAAATGGAAGGCAAGTCAGGCTCAGTGGCTCACTCCTGTAATCCCAGCACTTTGGGAGGCGGAGGTGAGAAGATGACTTGAGCACAAGGGTTCGAGACCAGCCTGGGCAACTTGGCAAGACCTCATCTCTACAATAAATCAAAAAATTAGCCAGGTGTGGTGGCGCGTGCCTGTGATTCTGCCTACTTGGAAGGCTGAGGTGGGAAGGAGCCTGTGGTGATTGTGAGTGTGCCACTCCAGTCTGGGCAACAAAGTGAGACTCTGACTCAAAATAAAATAAAATAAAATAATGCACTTCACTGAAGTCATAAGACTCAAGAGCATATCTGTAAATGTGGTAAATTTTAAATCCTTCCATAAATATAAGGCATTATTGTTTTTATTCCTTTCTTCTCCCATGGTTCTCTTTTTAGCCTTCTTATTAAAAAACAAAACTTTTCCTTAAACCTACTATCCTCTCAAGCTAGCTTTTATTTTCTCTTCTGTCACCCTTTAAAAAAAAATAAAACCGTCACAATGTTTAGGAGAGGAACAGGTGAGAATGGTTGAGAAGTACAGAGGTCACAAAGTCTAGGGCCAGAGAATTGTCTTGGAGGGATTCATACATATATGGAATCTGGCAGTATAATTCCAAGGACAAGGAAGCAGACAGGAATGAACCTTGCAGAGTAAGTCACAGCCATGCACGCCCTGGCTCTACCCCTTGCAAGTCAAGATGTCCCAAAGTCTCATCTGTCAAATGGGGAGGATGGAGATAATAATACCTGTAGGATTCCTGTGAGGACTAGCACAGTGGAGAGCACACAGTAGGTACACAATAAATGCCAGTGTCTTTGTTACACTCTCCTACAAATCCCAGCTCTAGTTGTGGAAATACTAAAGGCATACTTACTCTTTGAGTGATTTGAAGCAGTTATAGAAAAGCAACACCAAGAAATAACCAAGGCACAAGGTCAGGTGGAAACTCTCACGTGAGCTTCAAGAATTGGGAATTCCGATGCTCAAGGAAGAATCATATGGTCCCAAGCTGCCTCAGCTGGCTTAGCACTCAGATTTCCTTCTCTCCTGCTGCTGATCCTATCCATAGCATCCTGGGAAGTAGTGCCCACCCAATTCTCTGAACCAGATACTCAGTTCAGTGAAACTGAGCTACCCTACATGTGCTGGGTCTGGGGTTGACAGAAGAATACTGCGTGAGTGCATGCATGCATGGGTGCAGTGTGCATATGTGCAGGGGGTGGGGTATGAGACAGGTACATTAAACCAATCTCTTCAATGGAATACAGAAAGAGCTCTGATGGGGTTAATATAAGGGCCGTAGGAACACAAGGAGGACTGCAATGACAGTCATTCTAGGGGTCAGCTGGGAGATGTCCTAGAGGTATATGAATCACTTGGAGTGTATGGAATGGGGTTGAGAGGAGGGAGAATAGGCGGGAAGGAAATCCCAGCTGAGGCAGCTTGGGACCACATGATCCGTCCTTGAGGGTGGGAATTCCCAATTCCTGAAGTTTCCTCCTGACCTCGCCCCTTGGTTATTTCTTGGTGTTGCTTTTCTATAACTGCTTCAAATTGCTCAAAAAGTAAGTATGCCTTTTGAAAAATGTTCAGTCTTTTCTTATGCTAGTTAAAATTGTAGGGGAAATAATTTTCTCTATAATGAAGGGGTGAGGGATGGAGCAGGGTGCAATCAGGGTGTTCATACCCAGGCCAAATTTGAGGAAGCTTGGACCCGAGTCACGGAGGGGGGCAGTTAGGACACATACAGAGTAAAGACCCTGGGGTAGGGGGGTGGAAGACTGGAACCCTTTCTTCCATGCAGAAAGGTGATCTCTGACCAACTCACCACACCAATGGAGAAATAGTTGTTCATGATGCTATACGGAACCTGGTCCCCATTTTCTACCTCCTCTCTGGGGATGACTTCCAGATGCCAACGGTCCAGCATCACCAGGGGACTCTGCTCAATGTCCTTCAGGATTTTCGTCAAGCTGCCCCCCTCGTAACCTGTGGAGGATGGTATTGCATTTGCCACCAGAGCAGCAAGGCGAAACTGTTGCTGATGGCCAGGTAACTTTCAGGGCAGGTAATCCCATGGGCGTATGTGATCAGGGACTCCCCAGTGTGTCTGTGGGCTGGACACACTATGTTTCCTGAGCTACAGAGATGGAGGACAACAGTGAGTAATCAAAGGGGTGATCTGGAGGCCTGAGTAGTGGGGGGTCGGAAGGGGGTGGGTGCTGGCTAAAAGGTGGCAGGCCTGTATGATGCAAGTCCTGGAGAACTGGTGGGCTATATGGCTGGGAAGCTTTGCATGGGAGAAGGGCAATCCTTCCAGCACTGTGTCATGTGGGAGATAGACAGTGTGGTAGGCCCCAAGGGCTGGCTCCTGTCTGCTCTGACCCTGCCCACCAAGCATAAACCCATCTTTGCATGCTGACTGCTCTGCTGTCTGGCCTTGACTCACTCTCTGAATTATCAGCCTTCTGGAATTCTCACCCTACTTCTGCCTGCCAAATTGGTCTGTCTGCTTCATGTGTTGAGTTGAGCATCTCCACTCTCTGTACAGGGCTGCTGAAGCTTGCAAAGTTCTCCTCAGTCCTGCCCTTACCCTATAAGCTGGTTACCACTCTGTGTTTCCCATTAGGGGAATTTCAAAATGAGAGCCCATGGTCATGAAGGCCTAGGATAATCTGGATGCCCCTAGTGACTCTAAGTCACTAGTGATGTGGCATGTGTGCATGAGTCCTAATTCAGAAGAAGATCAGTTATATGGGGGAGAGGAATTTCCTACAGAGAACCCTGAAGTGAACCCCTACTCGAATGAGTACTGGGGCCAGGACAGACAGACTTGGTCTTTGCCCTAAAGTTGACTATGTTCTTCTGGGGGAGGCTCCAAGCTGATGGTTTCAGGATAATATTAAATATGGTGGAGACGGGTAAGCACAGGGCTCCTGGGACTCAGAAGAGGGGAAGAGGGCAGAGAGAGGGCCACAGATCAGATATGACTGCAGGATTGAGTATGACTCTGTGCAATGAAATTCATAAAAGGGTAAGCTCAGCCTAGCTCTGCAGAGCATCTCTGTGACCTGGAACACTTGTCCCTAGAGTAGTGCCACTAGCATGCAGACTCACCTCCTCCCCAGCGAAGGCAACGGGCAAGGTCGTTTCCTGTCCCAAGAGGCAGGACCGCCACTGGTGGATGCTTTGCAAAGTTGGCCTTATCTGTAACACATGCAGAAAAACAGAGAACCATATGCCATAGGATTAAGGAACGTTTGAGTTATCTTGTTATCCCTGAACTGATGCTTGAACCCCTCCTCAGCATTCTTTGTTTGAATATCTCCTGTAATGGGGAGCACACTATTTCCTAAAACCATCTGTTCTATCTGCTGTGTGTTAACCTCTACAAATTGAGCTAAATCTGTCCATTTGTTTTTCATAATCTGTCTCCCTGTAACTTGCATATGTTTGCTTAAATTTCATCTTAACTCTGTCCTTTGGAGTGGCAGCACAAACCCCATAACATTAGTTTGCATATTTTTAATCTTTAATGTTAACCAGCACTTACTTCACTTATCCTCCGACCAACCTTGCAAGGTCTTATGCTCATCCTAGTAGATGAAAAAACTGAGGGTCAGAGAGAGAAAGTAATTCCAGAGCTAGGATCCAAATCCAGATATCTGGGGCTCCAAGCCTTTTTCTTTTTTCTTCAGGAGCCAGGAAGGTGCACAGATTAGTAAAACAAATGGGTCTAAGACATTAGGGAATGGTGGGGCATTGGGAAAATTGAAGATGCTCACCCAAAGTCATTCAAGTTTGAACATTTAAAAATGAACATTGGTTCAATAACCAAAACCTTCAGGTGTTACTTGGCACCCACATAGCAGTTTGTCTCTTCCACCACCTCCTAGAATTGCAAATACAAATTCCTAATATTTTCTCTTTTGATGGCTGTGAAGGCGCATCAGACAGAGCCATCAGAGAAAGCACAACTGAACATGTTTCATCTGGCTCCAGATCCACAGCAGCATGTTGTCTGGGTAGGTAGCATGGAAGAGGGGGTCGTCTTCATAAGACCCCATTTTGTATGGTTCCCCATTTGTGAGCAGTGTGATTGGAGGTTGGAGGGAGATGCAGGAATCAGCAGGAAAGAATCAAGCTAGGGCTCCCCCGCAAAGTGGGAGCTCATAGGTCCCTCAGGTTGCCTGACCTGTGCCAGAAGCGGCTGAGCTCAGGCAAGACCCAGGGCTGAGAGGACCACCGAAAGGGCTGAGGTGACCACCACAAGGGCTGTTATGGAGAGTGGAGCAACGCAGTGCTCTCTTTCACTGCTCCCAGAACACAGGGCTGGAGCCAAGCCTCCCTGCCTTTTTTGCACATGCTGCTCTCTTTGCCTGGAAGCCTCTTGTTTCCTATGTCTGCCCCTTCTTCAGCAGGTCAACCATCCTCACAATGGCAAGACTAGAGACCGAGTTTCCCTCTCTCTCATTCCTGCATTTGCACATCTATGTGCTCTCTCCTTAGCAGGTCTCCAAGCAATCTCTCCTCTCCATCCCCATGGCGATGCCCAAGTACAGGTATGATTCCTTCCCATTGGTATTGCTATAACAGCCTTCTCTCTGCCCCCTACTTCCAGTTCCACCCTCCTAGTGTGTCTTCCACGCTTGCACCAAGGAGGTCAATCTGTGAACCACAGCCCACTCATGGCAGCCCACTGCTTTCTCTTCTGAGATAGGCTGTATAACTCCCCGTGACCCTGCAGCATGCCATACTAGGCGTCAGAATCTAGGCTCTGTATTTCTCCCTGGCCTCATCCTTCTGCATGTCCTGCGTCCCATGCAACATGTTAGCCATCCTGAATTGTTCTTAGTTTCTTAGATCACAAAGCTCTCTCTTGCTCAGCACAGAAGCTGCCTCTGGGACCCCTTCCCTGATTGTTTCAGTCTAGACCTGGTGCCTCTTCCGAAGGTTTCCTTAGCACCAGAAATGACCTCATCACACTCTCTGGAGACTGTCTCCTTGTTTGTTCCCTGAATGACTGTAACCTCCTTAGGGGAACCTGGGTTTCATTCTCATAGCATCTCCACACATATTGACTGAAGCCTACTATATGCAAATGACGTGTTGGGTGTTGCAGTTCTAACAGCAAGCCAAAAAAGCCATGGCTCAGTCTCTCGTGGTGCTTACAATGCAGCAGGAGAGACAGATATTAGTGAGGTCTTCATGGAGACCATGTATCATGTCACATTCATAGTAGAAAGGAAGGAGCATGGTCCTATGATGACGTGACTGAGGCTGGCAGGTGTGTCAAGGGAGGCTCCCCCTGAGGAAGCCACATGTCAGCTGAGATCTGGAGTGGAGGTTGACAGAGCAGAGACCGGGGCAGTATTGCAGACAGGAGGGACAACATGTGTAAAGGCCCTGAGGTGGAAAGGAGACTGGTATGGTCAAGGGTCTGACAAAGGGACAGGGTAGGTGGAGTCAAAGGGTAGAGGATGGAGGTATGAAATAAAACTGGAATGGTGGGCAGTGGCTGGACCATCCAGGACCTTGTAGATCACTTGAAGGATTTTTGTCTTTATCCTAAGAACAATAAGAACACTGATATTCTCATGTGCATCAGAAACCTATGGACATTCAGGAAAGAACACTCTGGCTGTGGGGGATGGGTGGAGGACCAGATTAGAGAGGGGACCGCTGTGGGGCACTGGAGAGCACGAAACAAGTGCTTAAGTGGTTGTTGAATGAATGAATGTACACATGATGCAGTGACTCCTTTTACCTCGTTTTTTCTCTTTGGACCACTAATCTGTGAAGAAACCTAATATTTCTTCCTCGTCACGTGATCTTCCTTCTTTCTATTTTGAGCAGCTTCTATCTCCTGTGCCCTCTGCAGGTGATTTTTACAAAACTCCTCACCAAAGCCTCCTTTCTCTCTCATGATGGAGAAGGAATTGCGTGTTAGTAGCCCAGTACTGCAGCCATTCGTCCTCTGCGGATCAGCATTTCCCTCCTTGGCTCCCGGAGGACTCCTCCCTCCTCCCACAAACAACTCTGAGCGCAGGGTGACAGGAGAGCGTGGGTGGCTGCTTGGCAGGGCTGTATCCATGGCAACCAAAGAGCCTGAGGGTGCAGCCTTGGCAGGTGTGTGGTCCTGCAGTCTTCTCAGCCCCCAGGTGGTCTAGTTACAACCCTTGCAGGCCCAGCCTTCCCCGCTCAGGTCAGGGTCTAGTCCTGGGTCTTCCTTGACTCCTGGCTCCTCTCATCTCCCACATCCAGTATGTCAACAAACCCTGCCACCTCCACCTTGAAGACATCCAGAAGCTGACCACGACTCACCAGCCCTTGGTTCCGTGGTGGTCCAAGCCCTGTCATCTCTCACTTGGGTTGCTGCAGTGCCCACCTGACTGGTATCTCTCCAGTTCTGCTTTCGTCCCTTAATCCGTCATGTCCCTCCTTTGCTCATGTCCTGTCTTGGGACTCTCCCAGCATGAAGGCCATATTCCACATAATGCCCTATATATCCTAGTGACCTGGCCCCTTGTCATCCCTGCTTCATCCTCTGTAACCCCTTGCATCCATTTTGTGCTGGTAATGCTGGCCTGCCTCTAACAGCCCGGTCTGCTCCTGCCTCAGGGCCTTTGTCCTTGCTGTTCCTTCTGCCTGACTGCCCTTCCTCAGTATCCACATGCCTCACCCCTCCTCCACGTCTCCATGCAAGCATCTTCTTCTTGGTGAGGTCTTCCCTAAACACTCAGTTTTAGGTTGCACCCCCACTCTCCCAAGCTCCCTTTTCCACCTCCCTGCTGTATTTTCATCACCTTCTGACACACTGTATGTTTCACTTATCTCATTGTTTATTGTCTTTAGACGGTAGGCTCCACGAAGGCAGAATTTTTGTTTGCTTGCTCACTGCTATATATTTAGTGTCTCAAGGACAGCTTGGCACATAGTGGTGCACAGGCAGCATTTGTGGGACTAAGGAGGCATGGCCAAAACAACCCAGGGCTCATGGGTCTGGGAACGGTCTCTGACTTGATGACTGCCATCCTCAGTGCTCTCCATGGCTGCTTTCCTGTCTTTACATTCCATGCTGCAGTGTTTATCTGGGTTCTCTTGAGTTAATCTTGAACATGCCCCATCCTGAATTTCACAGAGTCAGTCTCCATCACTTGCCGGGGCTGATGTGTCCAAGGATCCACAGATCCGGGCAGAGCTGGGCTGGATCAGGTCTCCACACCCTCAGCCCGGGCCCTCCCCACCACCCTTTCTATCTAGGCTTGTTGAGTTCAGCCCAAGGTGGCCTTCTTTGTTTGCACTGATCTGCACTTTCCAGGTGTGCTTTTGGGATCCAGGCTCCAGGTGTTCATATCAAGGTGATTGCCCTGGACTATATATCTATGCTTAGGTCTCTGGCCTTTACTTACCCACCCACCACTATGGACCTGTCTGGCACCTCACTTCTGCTCACCATCTCCCAAATCTGGCCTGTCCTGCCACTGCCCACACCCCAGCCGTGACAGATATGTCTTGGAGGCAAGGCCTGAAACTGTTACCTCTGTATCTGTGGGAATTCCTTCCATTGTCTTATTTCTTCATTTTCTTTTTCACCCCCAAAGCAGATATTTAGTTAAGCGTTGGCCTAAGGGTGGATACAAGGTTGGACAAGACATGGCTCCATTCCCCTCTGTTTTATTGCCTTCTGCTAACTTTCAATACGCTTACTATAAATAAACAGTAAAGGCCCTCCCAGCCCATGCTAACTTACCAATGCAATCCAAAATCCAGCCAACTGTCCCGTCTCCTCCGCAGGCCAAAACACGGAAGTCTGGGGTATCACGGAAAAAGTTCAATCTGGGAAGTAGAAGAAAGGCCAAAATGGGCTTGCTAATAGTTTGTGGCTGACTTTTGACACATGTCGAGTCATAGTCTCTCCTGTTCCCTGGGAGTATATTAAGACTGTGATTCCTTTGGGGTTGAAAGTGTCACTTAATGTTCTGAAGCCAGAACTTATGCAGGGCCACAGAATATGGAGAAAAGTCCCAGGGAGCCACCTTTGTGTAAGGAGAATCTGAACATTTAACACCAACAGAGCATGGTTTTCTAGAAGTCTCTACTGGGTGTGCAGAGGATTTCATTGTTTGTGCTTTGGCGCCATTACAAATAGGCCCTGCTGTTTTGACTCCTCTTGGGCTCTCCTGCCGGCTCTGTCCTCACATCCTCCCTGTAAGTGAAATGCACAGTTGGAGCCGGGCTCAGTGGCTCAGCCTGTAATCCCGCGCCTTTGGGAGGCTGAGGTGAGTGGATTGCCTGAGCCCACGGGTTCGAGACCCACCTGGGCAGCGAGACCTCATCTCTACAATAAATAAAAAAAAATCAGCCAGGTGTGGTAACGCATGTCTGTAATTCCAGCTACCTGGAAGGCTGAGGCGGAAGGATCGCCGGAGCCCAGCAGGTCAAGGTTGCAGTGGCTGGGAGCGGCCACTGCACTCCAGTCTGGGTGACAGAGTGAGACTCCAACTCAAAAAAAAAAAAAAAGAAATGCACAGTTGGGTCTTCATTTAGCTCTCTTGTGGGCCCAGCGTTGAGTGGAATGAGCACCCTTCTCTCCTCAGGAGCCTGACCCCCTAAGAGCAGGGCTCTTAACCATAGGAGTTCCCCCAACCTCCAAGGGGTCTATAGACGGCATTCAGAGGGCTGTGAACTTGGAGGAGAAAATAGTCATTCTTATCTTCCCCAAGCTTGAACTAAAATCTGGCATTTCCTTCCATTATGAATGCAGGCAACAAAACCACAGAGGTATTAACAACACCTGTGACTTTGTTAGCAGTTGAAATCACAGATATGTTGGTGTTTTGTTACAGTGATGGCAGATATCTCATACTATCACTTATGCTCATCACTACTTTGAATTTATATGACCCGCTTCTGGCTCTTACTATTTAATGTATTGCTAAAGCACATATATATTCCTGTACCACAACTTTTATTAAAGTTGTAATAACTTTCCCAATAGAATTAGTTTCCTTGGTAATCCTATATTTCTTCACTTTATGCATTAAGAAATATTATTCTAAGAATATTCTGAGAAGGGGTCCACAGGCTTTACCAGACTGCCAAAGGGGTTCCTAGCACAAAAACGTTAAGAACCCTTGCTTGAGAATTCACGTGATCTGTGGATACTGTGAGATGAGACTTGGGAAGCTGAAGTCCAGTACTTCTTCTTTGCCCAGTCTAGAGGTCTGAGAAGACCCCTGCAGCTTTCAGAATCACTGATGCCTGTGCAGGCAAATTAACCTTCCTTCTCTTCTTCTTCCTATGGGAAGTGAATTATAAATGGAAGCTCTCTTCAGCTAGATGGCCTGTCTGATTACAGAGTGACATTACATCAGAGACACTCAGGGCACATCAGCCCTGGAAGTAACCACTTGGCTTGTCATCCAGGGTAAAAAACAATTTAGGTGAGATGAGATTGTGCTGGAGAACTGTCTCCAAGTATCGCCAGAGAGCTGGTAAAGGAGTCTGTGGGCTTCTGCTCAGCCACACAGCTGTGTCACGCAACAGTGATGGCAGTCATGGTGACTGGGACAGCAGCTGTCACAAGAAAGCTGGGCTCTGTTCTGAAAGTAGTTTAACAGGTAAATCATGGCAGGAGTACCAACTCTGCACTCATGTTTTTTTCTCCTTTTAATTGGATCTTGTGCTACTATTATCATAAATAACAGCTTTGTGTCAGACAACCAAAGACGAGGTAGATTTCCCTTTTAGAGTCCTCTCTCCAGCTCCTCTGAGGTGTTTTGCTGAATCCAGAGTAGGAATCCAGGTTTGGAGGCTGGGCAAAGTGGCTGTGTGTGGTTGGGAAAGCCCAGCCCAGCATGTGCAGGGACGGCCCCTGGGCTGGGACTAGCCAGCAGATGGCGATAGTGCACCAGCTTCGGCAGAGAAGCAGCCCAGGCCCTCTGTGCTTTCCAGCAAAGATGCTGGAGAGGCCTCTCATCACAAGGACCACTACATTTGCTCGCCATGTTCACCCCTGCCACAGGGACCGGCTCCTCTTTCAGGTCTCTGCCAATGAGTAGAAAAATAGTCAATGGGTAGGTGACAGGAGGTGAAGAGCCAGGAGGAGTGAAACAACCTCAAAACTGAATAATTCAGAAAACAAGTGATTGCACTGAATAACCAATTGTCTTGACCCTAGAGAGCCCCATAGCGGAACACACAGTAGAACTTGGAGTCACTGTATTGATTTCCACACTGCTGACCAACAATGATGAGAACACTCTTTCCCTGATGTATTCAGTATGAAGACATCAGCTAACACAGCCTTGCACATAAGCTAAGTAATTTACCAACCCACTCTTTCTATAATCAGATGAAAGGTGTATGCAGTTTTCTCCTCTTACAAAATTAACAACTTTTTCTGGGACAAAGCATAGACGACTTTTCCAACAGAGTTAGCCATGATGAATGTCTGAGTACTCAAGGAGTAAGAGGACATGAGAAAAAAAAAGAGGGAATAAAATGGCAGAAAGGAAAGTCAAGAGATGAAAGAAAAAAGGTGACAAAAGAAGTCACTTTTAAATCAGAGATTAAACGTGGGGAGGGGAAGAAATAAGAGGTAAAGATCATTATCTCCATACCCTGGAGTAGGCCCCCCATTGTCCAGGTTGAAAACTTGTTTGGGGTTGAGCAGATAGTGGAATTTCCGAAGAATTCTATGGAAAGAAAAAAAAAGAAAAGAAAAGGAGAGAGAGACAGACAGAGAAGGAAAATGTCATTGTGAGAAGTCACATCAGGGCAAACACAGGAGCCCACTGTTCCTGGGAGGGGAGAACACTGAAAGCAGACATCCTAGGTCCAACTGTCATCATCCACATCGTCATCCCCTAGTTCAAGCCTTCCCCATCGTCCAGGCCCAGAAGCATCACCCTTTATAGCGAGAACAGGGCAGAGAAACCCAGAGAACAGAACTTTCATTCTAAAGCTTCTTCCTCTACAGATACCTTGTCCAAAACGTTCGGTATGGTCCAGGGAGTGTGATTCTGCCCTTTTGGGGACTGTAGAAGGGCATCAGGGGTTCCACTGGGGAGAGGCTCCCTGCAGTCCTGGGATCGGGAGGAAATGAAGGAGGTGGGGTTGGGGCAGGGAGGGCTGAGAGACAGTGCCCACATCTAGGCTTGGGTTCCAGGCTCCAGGTTTGGACGAGTCAGGTCAGTTCAGGAGGGCCGTCCTGCCCCTTGGACTGGGGTGGAGGTCCCCATAATTCTTGCATTAACCCTTACTATGATTTTTTCAGCCTGGATCCCAGATCACTGGGCCATCTGTTAATTACCCCAGAACTAACAAGTCCTGACAGAAGCTACTTTACCCATTCTCCCTGTCCTCCCAGTCCAGTTAGTAGTCTCCAGTTACCAGCAAGTGGGGCACTTCCTTCACTGATGAGGTGAATGACCTGCCTTCTCAGGGGTGGGTGGGCCGGGTCCTAATCTGTGAGCCCTGCCTCATCTCTTAAATCTATAAAAGACTTAAGACGCTAGAAAGGCCCAGATAGCTCATAACTCGGTCTGACCCTGGGAATCTTGCTAAGGGTTCATGTGGAAGGCCCTGGGTTAAGCATCAGGTCTATTCTCATCCTCGAAGCAACCTGTGAAAGGAGAAATTATTATTATCTCCATTTTACAGATGGGGAAACCAAGGCTCAGGGACTTGAAGCCACTTGGGCCAGGTCATAAAGTGGCAGGTGGTAGTGCTGGGATTTGAGTCTGCCTGTCTCCACAGCCTGTTACGGCCGAGGGCAGGAAGGGCCCAGTTTTGTTAAAGGTACTATTATTCATCCAGTCATCTAAGAAAGATCCTGTCCTTCTGAGTCTTTCTTTGTCCCTTTATGGTCCCATGCTGCTTGGGACTTTTCCACGCCAGGTGAGTCCTGTACACAGCCCCCACGCATTTCCTTCTCAGGACATCAGGTCAGTCATGTGACTCTTGCTTAAGTCCTGTCCACTTTGAAAAAGAAAAGAACATACCTTTCTCCTTGTCTCCCTCCACTCTTGGGGTTCACCAAGACCAGCAGGGGATGGGTACCCGGGGTGGGAATGATCTTATACTTAAAAGGCAAAAGAAAAAGAAATTAGCTCCGCTCTGTCCAACAGTGGGGTGAGATGAAAGTTGATTCCAGGATGGCTTTGGAGAGGCTGATGGGGGAGAGGAAGCAGTCCCAGGTGTGGCCGGGTGCGGGCCAGGGAGGTAGGTCTTTGTCCACTGGCTGAGTTCTTAGAGGGGCTAAGGAGCTACGTGTCTTCAGGTCGAGTGGCCTTTAAGCATTGGTAATGGCTATGAGGGTTTGTGGTCGGACTCAATAATGGGGCAATGGTACTGTAGCTTCAAATCATTCAACAACAATGTGGACTTCTGCCCACAGCACAAGATAAAATTTTGTAGGGGACACAACTGAATAAGCTCTTAGAAGTTACGACCATTTGGTAAAACACATAAATAAAATAACTCTCATGGAGTGAGATATCGCTTCCACCCCAGCACCTTCCAAATGCACATTTGCAGGCCCAGTTTTCCCTCTGAGTCCTGGTCCCACATTTTTTACTGACCAGTGAATACCTTCAACTGGATGTCTCACCACAAGGACAATGTCAACATGCCTCAAACCTACCCATCTTCTCTCCCCATAAACTTGTCCTCGATCCTGGTTCCCTGTTTTGTTAAAGGTACTATTATTCATCCAGTCATCTAAGAAAGATTCTGTTCTTCCAAGTCTTTCTCTGTCCCTTTATGGTCCCATGCTGCTTGACTTTTCTAAGCCAGGTGAGTCCTGTACACGACCCCCACACATTTCCTTCTCAGGACACGAGGTCAGTCATGTGACTCTTGCTCAAAAATCTTTAATGACACCTGGTTGCCCAGAGGATAAAATCCAAATCTCCTAACCTGGCATCCAAAGCCTTTCAGTTTAGCTCCATTCTACTGCCATCTCCTAATTCCTCCTAATCCTTGGCTGGGCTAGCCAAACCTTGCTCTTGCTCCTGTAGTAAGTCTAAGGTTTGTCTTTCACATTCCCATCTGTGCTTCTGGTCACTCTGGTTTCTTCTCTTGCCCCATGCCCTGAAGTGCTCACGTCCTTCTTTGCAACCTCTTAAAAAACTTCTCATCCTCAGGGCCCAATTCAAGAGCCACCACCTCTATAAAGCTTCCCTTGATCACTGCAACAATAACTATTGCACTTAAAACAAGTATTATTTTCTGGAGTTTCTTTTGTTGTTTCTTTGTATTTGATTTTTACTTTCTTTTTTTTTTTTTTGAGTTGGAGTTTCACTCTGTCGCCCTGACTGGAGTGCAGTGGCCGCTCCTGGCCACCGCAGCCTCGACCCACTGGCCACCGCAGCCTCGACCCACTGGGCTCCGGTGATCCTTCCGCCTCAGCCTTCCAAGTAGCTAGAACTACAGGCATGTGCTACCACGCCCGACTGATTTTTGATTTATTGTAGAGATGAGGTCTCGCCAAGTTGCCTAGGTGGGTCTCGAACCCGCGGGCTCAGGCAATCCAGTCACCTCAGCCTCCCAAAGGCGCGGGATTACAGGCTGAGCCACCAAGTCCGGCTGATTTTTACTTTCTTAAGTAAATGACTCAAAACACCAACTGGATTTTAAAAGCATCAGAGTGTTTGTATAACTCCTGTCAAGGACCCCATAGCACCAGATCCAATAGTATATTCTCAAGAAATACTTGTGGATTCAGTTGAAGGACACACTGGTGCAGAGATGCAGCTGTGCTTCATATTCATTATCTAAGGTCTGCTTTTCCAGATCTCAGACTAAAACTGCAGCAAACACAGTGCCATGTTGTGTAAAAAGGACAGCAGTATTCTTTATGATTTTAAAACATTCTCTCATCTGCCCAGGGTGCTTATGTGACACCCAGAAGCATCTTGGAAGCTGAGGGATAATCCCTTGCATCTAGGGGTAGTATTCAAAATATTTAAGAATCAACTCATACAGTCTTGGCACTGCCCAATGAGAACAAATGCAGGACAACCAGATGGAAGCCTGCAGTAAAAAACTGGCATAACTGTGTCAGGTGAATGTGCGTGTGCGTGTGTGTGTGTGTGTGTGTGTGTGTGTGTGTGTGTGTGTGTTTTCCACCTGACTTTCTGCCCTTCTAGGTGTCTAGAGCTTTCTCACATATTAGGGTTCTCCCCTTATTATGTCTTACGTTATAATTTTCCAAACATACTAATCTGCATGTTCTCATTTAATCTTACAGCACCTCTGGGCAGTAGGCAGTGCAGGTATTGTTATACCTCCTTTCAAACAAGGAAACGTTAAGACTCAGAGGCATAGAAGGAGGCCCTAGTTTTCTATTTCCTTTTCTAGTACTCTTTGTTCCTCACCAGGTTACTTTCCCTGCATTCCTTGGAGCTCTGTGGAAGGCACAAAAAAAGTTGTTCATTAGTGAACCCAAGTAAAAAAAAAAACGAGTTCCTGAATATATATTTAAGGATTAAGGAGAACTTTCTGGTCTGGTTAGCTTCATTTTGGCAGATCATGTTTTGGAGATAGCTTGGTAATCTTGGAAAACCCATTATCTATTTTTAAGCTACATTTTTGTTGTTATTTAGGAAGTTTGCATATTAGAGTTTTATGTAACTTGTTCCTAAGAAGGTGATAAAGCCAATTAGCAATGGGATCAGCCAGTTTCCTTTCTCACCACTTGCCTACAGTGTGGTAGTTAAAGGTAACTCCAGAGGCCAGAAATAAATGTCTTCCTGTGTGATATGGTTGGTCAGATGAGAAGGCAAACGTTGAGATACATTTCTTTTCAACCCCAATCCCATCCTCCCCTCCACAGCCTTGGAACGACTTAGAATGAGTGATTGGACTCGACGTTCACTGGGGTACCTGCATCACAAGTTCGCCCTTGGCTGACACGCTGCCATCAGATATTCCACCTTGCCTGTCCTGTGAGAAAAGAGGAAAGACAAGCATCTTTGGGGGAAAAAAGCCTAACATTGAGAAAGAGATCAGATGAGAAGCAAAAGACTGATATAAAGAAAAAGATTAGAAAGCCAGTACAGTATGGAGAGAAGTTTTTCGAAGTGGGGCTTTGGACATGAAAAAAGGAACGCACCCCTGTGAGTTTTTCTAGGCTTCTCCAAACCCCTGTCATTACCTGTTCTGACTTTAACTTTGAGACACTGGCAAGGAATGAGGGAGTGGACACTGAAATTGGCAGAATTCTTGTTTGTTCATTTGGAAGCTTGAGCTCTGAGAAGCACATTCTTTTTTTTTTTGAGTTAGAGTCTCCCTTTGTCGCCCAGTCTGGAGTGCAGTGGCATGCTCACGGCCACTGCAGCCTCAACCTTCTGGGCTCAGGTAATCCTTCTGCCTCAGTCTTCCATGTAGCTGGAACTATAGACGCATGCCACCGTGCCTGGCTTGTTTTTTTGTGATTTATGTAGAGACGAGGTCTCGCCAAGTTGCCCAGGCTGGTCTTGAAATCCTGGGCTCAGGCAACTCTCTTGCCTCGGCCTCCCAAAATGCTGGGATTACAGGCTAAGCCACTGAGCCTGGCTAGAAGCACATTCTTAGACTTGGCTTCTCTGCTCAGCACTATCTAATGATATGATGTTAAGTCATTTCCTTAGTTTTGTTTGTTTCCTATGTTTATTTTTTGAGATTTATTTCACATATAGTAAAATACTCAAATCTAAATTGTATAGGTTGATGAATTTTTCCTATGCATATGCCTTTATAACTATTATCTCTTTAAGTGTAAGCCAGTTGTGACTCCTTATACCATATTGGTTTTGCCTGACTTTTGAATTTCATGCAAATGGAATCATAGAGCGTGTCTTTTTCTAAGGTTAGTTTCCGTTGAAGGTTAGTCTTTCTGTTGAAGGTTAGTTTCTGAGGTTAGTCTTCTGTTCATGGTCTTTTAGCTTGTTTCTGGTTTTTGACTGTCATGAATAAAGTTGCTAAGAACATTCTTGTACATGTCTTTTGGTGGTATAATTGTCTGTATTTATCAGGGAGATGTATAGGAGGAGAATTGTTGGATTATGAGGTTTGCATATTTCCAATTTTGTAGGTACTGCCAATGGATTTTCAAAGTGGTCATTTTTCTTTGTTTTTTAATGAGAAAGAAGTAGCTGGTCTAGTCAAGGAATAAGTGGTTCTTGCAACATTTTAAAGCTCTTAGTGGTTGTTGTCAAAGCACTTGGTACTTGTTTGAAAGAGGAGTCTTTAACACAGGTGACAAAGAAAGTTTCAGGTGCATATAAAAGAAGATTAATCTTGTTGCTTTTATTTCTAAGTAGGGCTGAGACACCCAAGTGGAAAACTCTTGAGGTAGAGGGAGATGGTGTTTGCACATAGGCGAGAGGTTAGAGAGGCTGGGAGCCTGCCTGTGCGTAAGTGGTAACTGAGGTTCCTTGAGTTGTGCCCTGCCTGAAAGGGGCTTAGAATGAATGTGCTTTCCTTGATGTGCCATGTCAGGATATTCAGGGTGACCGGCAGTTGGAACCAATTTAGTCAGAAAAGTTTTTTCTTATAATCTGGCTGGTGCAGCACTGGCCTCTTTCAAACACATACTGAAAACACAAATGCTAAGAGTGGCCAGGTAAGCCCCCTGTGGCATATGAATGTATGAATGTTGCCTGTGTCTGAAACGTGAGCCTGCTAGAGCCCTAGTTGGGGCAGGAGCACTTACCCGGGTGATGGGGCATATCGACGTGGGCAGAAGAATATGGTCTCTGAGTTCCCCACCATCACACAATGTTGATAATTCACATTTGCGGTGAAACTGGGGGAAAAAAATGAAGATGAGAGTGAACAAAAGTGGTCAAAGAAGCGTCAAGTATGAGGGTTCAGAGGTTTGCTGGCGAGGCGAGCTGTCTAGTGCTCCCCCAAATCCTGATACACTGCTGGCTTTGGCAATTTTGCTGAGTGTGTGTGTGCATACCTGCATATGTGTGTGTGTGTGTGTGTGTGTGTGTGGTTAGGGGTGCCAAGTCTGCTGTGGGCAGAGAAAGAAGGCCAGGAACTGCCCATAGCTACTGGAGTGAAATGGTCAAGAGCCTCTGTGGTCCTTCAGCAGGGCACCCTCCTGTTGATTCCAGAGTCCCCCCTCCTTGGATATTTGCTTCCTAGGTTTTGAGACTCTGGTAGGAAGGAGATATCAATGCACAAACTCACAAGTGGCTGAAAGTAAACTCATGACTCAATCTCTACATTTTGAGAGTTCTGCAGCTTGATTTGGAGAAACCTCCTTTTTGAGGCTGATACTGGGCAGGCAAGGGGGACAAGAGATGGCGCTGAATCTATTTTAGCAGGCAGGTCAGGCAGCCCAGTGGCGTCTAGTGCCACACCCAGTGCCCAGAGGGGCTATGGACTCTAGCCTGTGCTGTGGCTCGTGGCAGCAGGCCTAGGCCTCTGGCAGAGGCAGTGAGTCTGCTGCAAAGAATGTGTCTTCAGGGCAGGTGCCCTTTCTCTGATGTTTCTGTTGTCTAATTCCTCTCCCATTCTGTCAGAGTCACCAGTACCAGATGACACTCTGGCGAAGAAAGTTCATGGCCTGACCTGCTGCCACACAGACAAGGGACTGGCCCAGCTTCTTCTTAAGCAGTCCGCGCTCCCCTGGATCTGGGAGTGCCTTTTCTCTGGGCAGCCTGGCAATTCGCTGGAGCACTGTTAGGTTGAGGGCATTGAATGGGGGCTCTGGGGCCTTCCTAGCCTCACTTTCCTGGCTCCGCTCATGCCTTCTGGCGAGATGTTCACTGCACTTGGGCTGTAGCTTGGGCAAAAAACCACACTGAAAAGAAGCAGGGCCGTCCTGGACGCCAACCCACCGTCATCCGGCACCACACGCAGTGCCGCGCGGTGACACTCTGGTAGCACTTGATACTTTTGTGGCACCGGTCACACTTGATGGAGGAGTTCCCTTCCACCCATGCGTGCTGCATCACCTGTGGGAGGGAAGCGAAGGATGCCAGGGAAGGCGGCAGGACCACGCCCCCGGGCCCTGGGCTGGAGGAGAAGGGTTGGAAGGAGCTTGGGGAGAAGTTCAGGGGACAGGGGCCGTTTCCTATTTAGTGGGATTGGATACCGAATGGCATGGCATGGCTTCTCCTTATTAACCGCCATCATGCTAACCAAGGTCACTAAAAACCTATCTTGCTCGCAATTTGATCAACTCATTCACCCTGGCAGGCAAGCCTCTGAGCAACACCTGGTCTGGCAGTCCGTCTGTCTGTCTTGCAGAACTCCTTGCAGAGTGATGTGTTTGTGTGTGTCCTTTTCTGGAAGGCAGCATGGGGCCGGGGAATGCTGGAGAGCTTGTGTGGGCCACAGACAAGATGGGTTGGAGTCACTTTGCAGTGGGGTAACTTTCAGCCAGTTCCTGGACCTCTCTGAGCCTCAGGTCCCTCATCTCTAGAAACTGGCATAACAAGCCCACCTTTGGGATTGCTGGGAGAATGCAACAGGAGTGTACATGGAAGGGCCTTTCTGGCACAGTCCTAGCCCTTTGAAAGTGCCCACGATTGGACAACTTTCCCCGCCCTCCTCAGCCTTAGCAGTACATGAGAACCATCTGGAGAGCTTCTAAGAGTCCTAATGCACAGCCCACACTCCAATCCAAAGAAATTAGAGTCTCTGGGTGTGGAACCTGTCATTAATATGTTTTAAACTGCTCTGGGTGATTATATTGTACAGTCAAGATTGAGAAGCACTCTAGAAGAATGTTAGACAAAAAGTCTAAAGAAATCAGTGAGGGCCTGTTGGTGCCTTTCACACCTGCTTCCTGAAGAGCTGCTTGTATCTGCTCCATGGCCAGGAAATACCACCAGAGCAGGCTAGAACTTAGAAAGCGGGTGGAAATGCCTTGTATGTGTGTGTCAGTGCAGCTAAAGTGACTGCCAATGATCCACGGACCACTATCTGGGAACCTCTCAGTTCTCTTCCCCTGGAATTTTATAGAATGTCTCCCAAATTTCCACCAAGGTACCCTGAATAGCAGAAGAGAGTGGATATGGACTCTAGGAGAATGTAGGGGCATAGCTTGAAGTGCCCAATTACAAGCACAATATTTAAAAACATGAAACATTTGTGTGATGCTATCCATGTTTATATTAAATAAAAACACATGTTTAAAATTACTTAACAATTAAGTTGCTTAATGCCTCCCCCAAGAATGCTTTCAGTAAAATTATTGCTCTGGAAGATGTATCACATTTGGTTTGTAGCTTTTCATCTTGTGCCTTGCACTCCTGCAGGCTTGAAGAACTCAGTTTGTTAACCAATTTGTCATCTACAAGTTCACATTGAATTTGCTCTGAGAATATTATTAATTCCTTTTTGCAAAGGAAAAAATAAACTGGGGCTTCAGAGAGGTTAAGTGACTGGCCCTAAGTTCCAAGGCTGGTGAGTGGCCAAGCAGGGACTCCTAGCCAGGTTTTCTGCCTTCGAGGCCAGGGCTGTCTCTCCAACACCACATTGCCTCCTCCATTCTCTTTGGGAGACGGTGAATGACTTGGGTTGCCCCTGCAGACTCAGAAGGTTGTGAATGTGTCCTATTGGTTTCCCAGTGGCCTCGCTTTGTTCTTTGTGTGGCAGACAGCCAGAGTGCAGGCCTAGGGCCTGAGCCCAGGAGGCATGCCACGTGTCCTGGTGAAAGGCATGGACATGGAAGGAGGTGTGCAAGGGGTGGTGCAGATGGCATAGATGAGAGGCCATGCAGTGTCTATGGAGCATGCATACGAGTCCTAAGAATCACTCTTTTTTCTCAAGAGTCCTGTGAGAGGACTGGGTACCACTCTCACCTGCTAACCATTTCCTGACTCAGATTTCTCAGTGGAATCTTCCCTCTGCTGGATGGCAAAGTGCCCTTCCTCTGCTAATTTTAAGGACAGACTGTTTCCAGACTTGGTAAATGGCACCACCCAATGGCCAAGTTAGAAAGCTGGGAGCCATTCCCTACCTGTTCTCTCTCATCCTCTGCTTCCCCATCAAGTCCTGGGAGTGGCACTTCCAAATCACCTCTCAAAATCCCCCTTCATTTTCTCTCTTAGCCAAGGTAACAGTCAAAATATCCAATAACTAGCATGTCTCAGCACAGACATGGCCACGGCTGTGCTATAGCAGTGTGTGTGGCAACCCACCCCAGTCGGGTCCTCAGCGCTGACTACCTTTTAGCTTCAGTGACTGAAAGAGTTTCCCCTCCTCTGATTTCTCTCCTACACCACGCTCAGAGCAATTAACCTAATTCACAAACTCAATCATATCGTCACACACTTGAAGATCATCTGTGGCCCCTGGCTACATAGGAAACACCTTTCTAACTCCTCAGCCGGCCTCATAAGACCTGCTCCAGGCTGCATCTCACTCACCAGTTTCTGAGTGCATCTCCTGCCACAGCCCTTCCTCTGTTCCAATTTCACCAAACCAAGAGCTCAGAATAGAACTTGTCTCATGCCTTTGTAGAGGGTCTTGACCTCCTCAATGCCTCATGAAGTCCTCCTGATTTGCGTTCAAGACACAATTCAAATGCCGCCTCCTTTGTGAAACTTTCCCTGGCTTGTCTTTTATGCCTCCACTGTGTGTTCCACATAGTCTTGTTATAACACACATTTCACTACTTTGTACTTTGCCTTCATGTCTGTCTATCTCCATAGATGGCAGAGCTTTGAGCAGGCTAGGGGCTGTCTCTTATAACCTGTGTACCCCTAGCACAGCTCCTGGCACATGGCAAGCACTGGGGAGTTGCTGAATGGATTGATGGATGAATGGGATGGTTCAAGGGTGGTCCTTGAGGCAGAGAAGGGGCCAGATAAAGCTCCCAGAGCCCCTTCCTGCCTAATAATCCATGGCGATGGACATGTTGCCCAGATGTGGCATGCAGTAGAACAAGCAATAAGTGTCACCAACCTCGCCGCTTTTTTTGGGTTTTGAGCACGTTTTGACACACCCAGGAATGTTTTTGGATACACAGCGTTCATGGACAGTGTATTTACAGTCTAAAAAGAAAAAAATAAAAAGAAGGTCCTTGTGAGTGACTACCTAGGAAAGGTTTAGCTTCCTTCCCACCCAGACCTGTACCTCCCTCTGGGTGGCTGGTGAAGGGCCCAGGACACATGGAGTTGGTCTCGCCTAATGGAAATTCCAAAAAGTCTCTGATTGTTCCCTGAGGAGAGAGTCCTTGCAATCTCCCAGTCATTCTTCTTCTGCACCTCCACCCGTCACACTGGCTTCCTCTGTGCACAGTAAACGCAGCAGGAACACATTCCTAGAAAGGCGCTTTTCACTGAAGGGGAGAGGTGTCATATTCCTCACTATACCAATGCCAGATTATTGTATGCCGGGGATGTTGGGGAGTGGATACAAAGGCCAGGGGGTCTTTGAGGTTAGGCAGGCCCAGGACTGATCTCTGGCTCTGCCATCTATAACAATCCACATGATCTTGGGTACGTTGCTTTACCTCTCTGAGATTCAGGGTTTTCTGTAAAATGGAAATAAAAAGACTTCTCTTTCTCTTTGCAGGGATTTTGCAGAATTAAATGAGATGATGTGTCTGGGTCAGAGTATCTATTCTTCAAATTATTGCTGTTGTTGTTACTACTTTATTCAAATAGCAGAGGGCTAGAACTTAACAGTAAGGAGACTGGGTCTATCAGATGTGGATGAGAGCTGGATTTGAATGGGCACTGGGAAGACTGGTGGGCTCCTTCTGTAGCCTGTTGATGCCTTGCTCTGGGTGGGCAGTGGACCCAGTTCTGCCAAGATGACTTTTGTGGCCGAGGCCACTTGCTACCTAGTTCACACACGCATATTTGATGATACACTTGGACCAGGGGCCTCCCTATAGCAGCAGCTCCTAATCTCTGGTGGGATGAGGCTGGTTGTTCTCTGCATCACCAGGTGGGTGGCAGGAGTCTGCACACCTGCCTACTCTGGCCCCTGCAAAGCCTTCTTGCTGCAGCCCCTCCCCTCTCCTCCTGCTCCCTGGAACATGGCAAGGAGCATGCCATGCTTCTTTCCTGCATGCTCCTGTCTTTTTCCTTCTCCTCCATCTCTTTCTCCTGTTTTCCTTTCTAGTATTTCTCTCTCCTTTTTCTCCCTTTTATCACTTGTGGCTTTTTCCTCTCCCCTTCCCGACTTTGCTAAACAGATTATAAAATGAAACAACTGTATAGTTTTAATTCCCACTGCATTTACAGAATATGAAATATGTTGCTTATTCACTTAAAAACTACCGATTCCTCTGAACACACCTGGCACAAACATTGATTAGAAAACCCAACTAAAATTAGAGATGCTTTTTAGTTATGTGTGAACTTTAATAATTTTTTTCTAGGGGGTCGTGGCCCATGAAAGGACTCCAGCAATAGTACCAGATCTGTCCATTGGAACTGAGTAGGGTAAAAACAGGACAGGAAGGTCTTGTTTCATTTCCTGCTGCTGGAACATGATGAATGGCCCCTCTCAAGCTACAAAGCAGAAATACCTAGATTTTTCCCAGGAATGGATCAACCCGTCACATGCAGAGCAAAATAGTGCCTGGGAGGAAGGGAAAGAAAGGAGGTTTACTCACAAACGCAGCACAGGCCTTGCTTGCGAACACCCATCAGCATGAGGTGGCAGAAGTTGCAGTAGGTTGGTTTCTTGAAGTGCTTCAAGGTCCAGGCATGTCTCCCGTCACCCTTGGAGGCCTGCAGGGGGCACAGGAGGAGACAGCCCACCGCAGTCCTTAGCTAGAGGAAGTTGGGCTGCCTTTCCTGTCTTCTTTCTTTTTCTAAATAAGACTCTTTTTGAAAGACATGTGACTCATTTTTTTTTTTTTTTACTGTTTTAAGTACATATCAAACAAAGTTCTTTGTGTTTTCTAAAATTAGCAAATATTAAAAACAAGGAACACTTGAATGGGCATATGTGGAGGAGGGGGAAAAAGTAAGTCCTCTCCTACATGGCTGGTAGAAGTGTAAACTGGAACAACAGTTTGATCAATCATCTGTCTGTCTGTCTATCATCGCTATCGTCTACTTATCTAAAGATCCTTTAAATGTTTATGAACTTTGACTTACAGATTTCCTTTCTTGGACTCTAGTCTAAAGAAAAATCTTAAGAGGCAGACGACTACTTTTGTGCTCTGTCAGATGCTTAACTCAGCATTATTTAAAATAATAAAAAATGGGAAATATCTGAAAGGTCTCAAAATTACCAGAAAGTCAATTATGGTACATCTACATGACTTGATGTTAGGCAATAATCAAAAAGATATTTATAAGACTATCTAATGGCATGGGAATGTGCTCATGATATAGTACTAAGTGAAAAAAGCAGCATGCAAATTTGATGACGTGTTATGATTTCAGTGTTAATAATAAGACCTTTGATGGGAAGAAATTTCACTAACCTGTTAACAGAGGTTCGCGGCACTATGGATTTATTTTATTCTCTAATTCCTACTTTCTTCTGTATGCTTCAGTGTTTTTATAGCGTTCATGTACTGGTGTTATAATCAAGAAGAAATAGCTTAGTAAAAACAATGTACTCCTCTTACTAACTTTCTATACACAGATAAAATGGTAAAATTATGAGAAGGTTCAACTATATTCTCCTGACTTATTTCAGAAGTGAGTTCATCCTCACCTACTAGATAAGCTAAGCCTCACACAGTCGCATACCTTCCCTAGAACACAGAGTGTCTCGCCTACCAACCCAAGCAAGCACAGCCTGGCTTGAGGCTATGACTTCAGGAAGGTCCCTCCCATGTATACTATCCCTGATCCTTTCCCATAGGCTCCATCACAAGAGTAACACTCTCAGGCTGGTTGTACAAGTGGTAAAAACTCTGTACTAATGTGATGAGGATTGATTGTCAGGAATGTAGAGTCCAATGTGCTGGACCCAAATGCAATTCTTACTTCTTAAGCATCTATGCTTTTGGGCTGGTCACCATAGCCAGATCTGGTTCTGTGCCTAAACTTCTGGGTGTATTCTATTGGGGAGCCCACATTCTTGTCCAAATGCTAGTCTCCTCTTTTGGGCCAGATAAGCTTTTTTTTTCTCACTACCTCAAAACCTCGCTTCTTCTAAGACGTGAATTTTATAGATTTAAAACCTTTTTATCTAATTGTCTCTACTTTAGTCACAAATTGATAATGATTCATCAAATGACCGATTGATTCATGCATTTGACAAACATCTATCTCAAGGGATTTCTGTAAGAATTAAATGAAATCATGTAAATAAAGCTCCTAATCCAGTGTCTAACACATTGTAAATTAAAACTTTTATTAGGTTCCTACTCTGTGCCAGACACAAAAATAACTAAAGGGTGTTTATTTACATATAAGGCAGTAGATTTATTCTTATTCTAGAAATAAGAAACAGAGACTCAGAAAAGTTATATAACTAGCCCAAGGCCACTGAGCCAGTAGTCACAACCTTCTCCCCTACCTCCCAAAGGGTCTTCCCAAATGACGGTTTTCCGATATGGGCAGAAGGGAGATTATAGCACTCCTTAGCAGACCCAACATTTTCATGTAGCCCAAAGGACTGCCATTTTATCTGAAAATAGCTCTATTAGCTAAATCAGTTAGCTGATCCCCCATTCCTAGCTATTATTTTTACAGATATAAGAAGTACGTGGACCACGACTTGGGATAAAGTAACATCTCTGCCTGGGTTACAGCACCATCATGTGGCTCTTTCCACACAGTAGAGGCTGCAGAATGTGGATGTCCTTATGCATGCCAGGGTTTATGTCCCTGCTACAATTTCACGAGGAGACCAATTGTTTTGCATATATCCCACTCAGAGATTCCTCAGACTTTTCAGTGGTCGTACGTGGGTTTTTAAAAAGTCAGACAGAGCCGGGCTCGGGGGCTCAGCCTGTAATCCCGCGCCTTTGGGAGGCTGAGGTGAGTGGATTGCCTGAGCCCGTAGGTTTGAGACCCGCCTGGGCAGGCGAGACCTCATCTCTACAATAAATCAAAAAATTAGCCAGGTGTGGTAGCGTGCACCTGTAATTCCGGCCACTCGGAAGGCTGAGGCGGAAGGATTGCCGGAGCCCAGCAGGTCGAGGCTGCGGTGGCCGGGAGCGGCCACTGCACTCCAGTCTGGGCGACAGAGTGAGACTCCAACTCAAAATAAAATTTAAAAAAAAAAAAAAAAGTCAGACAAACAATAGGACTTTTAAGAAATTGACAGGGACTTTCTCCAAATCCCCCAATATATTGAAATGTTATTAACTTATTTAAAATGTTCAAAACTTATTTAGTGCATATTTTAAGATAAATGTATAAAACTTTTTGTCAATAAAACTAAATTTGTATTTTCTTTTCATTGATCACTTTCCTAATATAAATTATAGTTTTCTACAAGGTTTGATTTTGTAGCTTTAATATCCTTTTATTGAATTGTCTCTACTTAGTTAATAAGTGCACAAATTGATGATTCATCAAATGACTGATAAGGGAGACAATGGGGAGAGCGTTGAAGAAATAGGCAGGCCATAAGATAGTGGATCTTCTCCACACAAACGATTGGTGGCATTTTGAACATCAGCAAGTCCAAAATAGAACAGAAAATAGAAATTGTTTCCTTGTGATTGAAATATTTCATCTTTATTCCCCAGATGAGAACAGAACAAAACAAAACACTCTTGTGTTGGAACATCACCCAAGCAGAACTTTCATTTAACCTGAGTATAATCTTAAGTGAGTAATAACAGCAGAAAGTATACCTTACTTATCTGAGCTCTAGTTCCCAGCTCCTGGGGGTTCTTGTACATGGAGCATCTCGGCAATGGGTTGTTTAATGAAGGGTGGGTTGTTACTGAATTCAGGGGATGGCCTCTGGTACTAGTTTGGTGTGTATTGGGGCCAGTTCCTTTACCTTTTTGGGCTTCAGTTTGAAAAATGAAGAGTATCAATCATGGAGCACAAAACTCTTTCCCAGCTCTAACTTTCTAGGGTTCTAAGGAATAAGAAGGGAGTTATGTAGATCCTGGTTCCTTGATTTCTTCTTAGCACTTGGAAAGAAGTGGACATGCTCTGAGATGATTGCAGGATTCTTAGTTAGTGAGTTTTGTAAATGAAGGTTCAACTTTAGTCCTGAGTGGAAAACTGTCAGAGGTATAAGCAACGATGGCCAGCTGGAGGCTAACCCAGCTACATTTCTTGCTCTGTTCTATTGTAGGACCCTTCTGTAATCTCATGAAGGTGTTGTCACACAACCTGTGCGACTGTCCTGCTAAATGCGTAATCATCATTTGTTTCTACTACTTCTAATCTTCCTTATCTCATGTATGGAAGTTAGTTCACTTGGCAAATAAAGCAGAAAATGCAGTAACTGACTGGGTTGGATGCAGGCATATTAAAACCATTGACTTCACACAAGCCTTTACATGTATCCTCACTCTGATCAAATTGGGAGACTTTCCTAACATGCTTTGAACTTTCTTTCATTTGAGTTATTTATTTGTTTGTTTGTTTATTTAAGCTGGCATCTCACTCTGTTGTCCAGGCTGGAGTGCAGTGGTATGATCACAGCTCACCACTGCAGCCTTGACCTCATGTGCTCAGGAGATTCTTCTGTCTCAGCCTCCTGAGTAATTGGGACTATCGGTGAGCACCACCACACCTGGCTAATTTTTAAAAATTTTGTAGAGGCAAGGACTTGCTACGTTGTTCAAGCTGGCTTCAAACTTCTGGGCTCAAACAATCCTCATATCTCGGTCTCCCAAAGTGCTGGGATTGTAAACATGAGCCACCGCACCCAGCCTTCATTTGGGTTTTTGATCAAGCAGTTCTCCTGACCACTCTCGCTTCTACTGTCTTCTACTAGCCAAATCATACCATCCTTGACAGTCAGATCAAACATCCTCCTGGGGCTTTCCATTTGATCTTTAGCCTCAAGAATAAGATATCAAAATCTCATGCATTCTTCAGGGACAAGTAAAACATCTTCCAAGTTTTCTTCTAAATATAGGAGATGGGCTGACTCTCATGTGTGGGATGTTAGAATGTAAAGCATCTTTGAAGTCAGGGACAAATTCTGATTCCCTTGTTTGCTTCTTAGGACCAGAACCTCAGCTTGCTGTCTTTATAAATTGGGATAAAAATACTTACCTTACTTGGATGTTTTGGTTGTTAAACAAGATGCCGTTCATGAACACCTACCTGAACAGATAAGTAATTTTCTTCCCTCCCTCCTTTCCTTCCCCAATTCTCTTAGCATTCTAAAATTTAATTGGTTGAAAAGATGAATTCTTATTTGAAGTTTTTTTTTGTACCTTTGCCAGGTTGAGTATAAGGTTGTGTTCCTTCACAGCATGCAGAACAGTAATTTTTTTTTTTTTGAGTTGGAGTCTCACTCTGTCACCCAGGCTGGAGTGCTACTTGACCTGCTGGGTTCCGGCAATCCTTCCACCTCAGCCTTCCAAGTAGTTGGAGCTATAGATGTATGCTACCATGCCTGGCTAATTTTTTAAATTTTATTGCAGAGACAAGGTCTTGCCATGTTACCCGGGCTGGTCTTGAACCTACAGCCTCAGGCAATCCTCTCGCCTTGGTCTCCCAAAGTGCTGGGATTACAGGCTGAGCCACTGAGCCTGGCCACTAGAACAGTATTTTTAATTTGGTAAAGATTTAGTAAATTTCTATCAAATGAATGAATAGATTTCAGGCATTAATAGGTAAAAAGGGATGAGAATAGACAGGACTTTTGGACTGGCCTAGAATGCATGGCGTGTCCATTGGGAAGTCTGGAGCAGAAGCTAAAGTGATATGAAGATATTGATGTGGAACTCAATGTTCCTGAATGGCAAGAGACTGCCGAACTCCAGATTGTTGACTTACAGAGTCGTCCATCCCTAGGAGGACCAGCAAGGGGATGGTGGTCATCCCTCCATGAACCCATTCTTGTAATGACACAAAGCCATCTTGGTCGTAATCCATCCCTTGCAGCATCTCCTTCAGTATCTGTGGAATCAAAGAGCAACAGTAGTCCATTTTCATCCTTGACACTTCTACCTCTCTTCTACCCTCTGCTTTCTCTTTCGTCCTGAATCATCTAGTTTGTGTTTTGCCCCTTTCCCTTTTTAGTTAACGTTAGTAGAGTAGTGAGGGAGCAGATTGGGAGTGAGGAAGCCAGGCTTCTAGGTCCAGGTCTGCCCTTGGGCCTTGGCCCAGTCACCTGGCTCTCTTGGCTCTAGTTTGCCCATCTGTAAGAATAGAAATAATATTGTTGTGATAGCAGTACTGTAGTGAGGATTAGAGAAAATGAATATAAAGTGTCTAATATAATACCTAACACATAGGAGTCCCCAAATGTAATTATTATTCTTCTTCTTATTATCTGGTGATTGGGAAAAGTCTCTAAAATTCTTTCTAGATCTAAATTCTTTAATCTATGAATTCCTGTTACTAAATTTTAGCTCTGGTGAAAAGGTTAGAGGAATTATTATTTCAGTTATGTCTACACTCTTTCCTATTGCCTGCATTTTTTCTGTCAGAGAGGTGGGAGGTAAGGCGTAAGACTCCAAAGAACCTGCTTATAAAAAGATGAGTCTGGGGACACCTGCGTAGTAAACATCTGTAGCCCAGTTTTGACTGTGTCCCACTCTCATTTTGAAAACTCAGAGTTACCAAAGTCACCCCCTCTTTAGAAACTCACAGGCTTTAACTCTGTGGGATCCCACTCCAGGTACTGGGCAATATGCAGCATTTGGTTGACAATGCGATCCATCTCCTATAAAACGTCAAAGGGAGAAGATATTAAAAGGAGACAACCAAAGATGTGTTCTCAAGAGCGAAACTCAAAATCAAACCCCGTGGAAAGATGGGCAGGGCAGGGCATGAGAAGAAGCTGGGTGTAGTACACTGGGACTTCATGAAGAGCACATAGTTTGTTTCTGCCTTGACCACAAAGCTTACAAGAAGCACAGAGCATGGATAAGCCAAAGATATGTGAAAAGCTCACCAAACACTGACCGCCTCCTAGATCCATCAGGACCCATCTTCCTTCCCCTATTCTGTCTTTTAACTTGGAAAGCATAAAAAACACTCCTGTTTTATCCCTCTTTGTGATAATAGCTCCCATAAATACCTACAGACCAAAGCAGGTCTCCTCACCCCCTTCTTATCACTCCTCATCTTCACAGCTTTAACAACTTGGGATCCATCTACCCACTTAGGGGTCAATTTCACTTGGATGGAAGGTTGCAGTGTTGGTTCTTGCTCAAGCGCCATGATTTAGATACCTTTTGGCCTCTCTTCTGTTTTCAGAGGTTTAGCCCTGAGCCCAGGATTCCATGAACAGTAAATTCATGAGGGATGTGTTTGCCTGATGAGTGAGCCTTTGGGTACCAAAGTCAGGCTTTATCTAAAATATCACAGAATTATTAGATGTGAAAGAGTCAGTGTCCTGAGAGCACTGAAACATGTTGGACTGAGGAGGCATTTGATGTCAAAATCAGCACCACTTGGACACCATTTAAGATGTTCATAGCAAGATTGCTTTAGGATGACCTGTTGGTGGACTGAAGAGAGGTTCAAAAGTGTTACCTTCACCAGGTGGAATGCTGGGTCAACAGCAAGCTAAAACTCAACAGGGATTTAAACAAATTAAATTTCATTTAAATTTTAAAAAATCAATTGCAAAGCTACAGTATTGGGCAGTAGATAAGAGTAAGAAACTAGACAAAAAGGTAGGGATAGGGCTTGGCAGACATTCCAATGGAAAAGAGCTTGTGAATATGGTTGGGCCCAAGGTTCAATGAGAAAATGTGATTCAGGAACCAAAAATTAGACTCAGTCTTCAGCTATGTAAATAGAAGCAGAGTGGGCAGATTTCAGGAAGAACTAGCTCCCTGAGGTCTACCCCAGTCAGGCCACATTTGGATACCTAAAGAGTCATAAAAGGGTGGTTCTGTTCTGTGCCATATTTTAAGAATAGCATTGACAAACCTGAGCTTGCCCAGAGTGGCTATTTAAGCCAGTCTTATGAGAACCAGTGCAGGAAATGAAAAATTTTAGCTTGAAGATTTTAGAGATGTGATAGCACCTTCAAATACCTGAAGGCCTATTGTGTAGAACTGATATTCCACTTGTCCTGGTCAGGTACAGAGGGCAGAAGGAACCTGAGGGATGTAGGGAAGGGAGGAGTTGAGAGTTGGCTTATTGTGTCCTTCCTATCGGGCTAGGGGAGAGGAAAGGGAAGTGGAAGCAGATTTTGTGTTGCAAACCAGTCCCTGGCAGACAGGTGTCTTGTGTGCAGAAAGGAAGCTCTCTGTAACAGTGACCTCTAGCAGTGGAATGGCTGTCTCAAGATAGTGGGTGGCCTCCCCATTACTAGGAGTGTTCAAAAAGAGGTTGGGAGTCCATCTGCCAGGGATTCCTGGTAGGAAGTTGAATCAGATAACTCTCTGGAGATTTGCCTCAGTCCGCCAATGTTACCTTTAAAATGGATCTGAAATCTATCCACTTCTACCCTGTGCAAGATTACCACCATTTCAAGCTTTGACTCTTTCAATGGCCTCCTAACCAGTATCCATATGTGCATCCTTACAGTCCATACCCAGCCCAGTAGCTTAGAGTGATTCTCTTAAAACATATCAGTCATGTCACTCCTCTGCTCAAAATCTTCAATGGTTCTCTATTTCTCCAGAATAAAAGTTAAACCCTTTCGATCAACTATAAGGTTTAACATACTTTGCAAACTCCCACTCCCCACCTCCATCCTGTAATGTCTCTGACCTCATCTCCTGTTACTGCCTCACTCTGATCTCATGTGTTCACTCATTCTGCTCCCATCACCTGGCCCCTAGTAATCCTCTAACATCCCAGGCACCCTCAGGACCTTTGCACTCCTGGAAGGCTCTTCCCCTAGATATTCCTATGATTTACTCCTTCACCTTCTTGAAGTCTCTATTCAGATGCCGCCTCCCCAGGAAGGGCTTCTTTGGCTCCCCTAGCTAAAGTTGCCCCTCCTTCCAACACTTCCTTTCTTCCTTTATTTTTCTTCTTGGCACTTGTTTCTACCTAACACATATTTTGCTCTGCTATTTAGTGTCTAGATTTGGACTAGAATGAAAGCTTCATGAGGGCATGGAGTTTTGTCAGTTGGCTGCATTGATGTATCCCCAATACTTAGATATAGACACTCAGTAAATATACATAGACCAAATGCTTGAACACTCAGTAAATATATGTTGTCCAAATGCTTGAGAGTCTGTGATTCTCTGGTTGTTCCCTCAGTGATCCAACCTACACAATGACAATATAGATGAAGGGATCCCATAAAGGTGCTCTGGGGCTTAGAGGGAACTAGGATGATTCCGCTGGTCTGGTGGACTTGTTCCTGTCCTTCCCTCCTCTGATCTAACTTAGCCCCATGCATCTCAACCTCAGGGTCTTCCCATTAATGAGCCTTGACTCTCACATTGCTGGTCACAACCATGGGGTCTGTCTTTTCATTCCTCCTCTCACTCCATCATCTCTGACCTACCCCTGCCTATTCCTGAAGGGGAATAGGGGTGAGTCCTCAGACTTTCCCATCATGTGCTCAGAGCAGATAGAACCAGCTTCCTTGGCTAGTGTTCTAGAGTATGAGAAGAAGCCAAGGGTGATGTCACAGCACAGCAGCAGTAACCAGGAGCCTCCCTTTCTCTTGCCCTTTCCCCATGGTCTTGATGCCTCCCTCCCACCCTTGGCTCCAGGGCTGTAGTAGGAAATTGCTGGGAGAGATTGTGAACTGATGCGGAAGTTAAACTAGATAAAATGCTAAAGCATCTCCCCATTTTGAGATTTTTAGCACCCCTGGCCTCTGTAATGAAAAGGTAAGTTGGCATTTATTCTGTGCAAGGCTGGCTCTTTGAAAATAGGAGGTCGAGCAAGGGGTATCTACTCAGATTTCTGCAGCTCATATTAAGACATTGCTATTCCTACAATGATAAAACCGAACATTTTCAGATTCTTCCTGTACTTGTTCCCTGCTCCCCCATTCTTCCGGATCTCGGAAGGATATTTAGAGTGAGGACTTACCATTTGGTCCAGGAGACCGTTCTCATCTGAATCATAGAGACGAAACATGACTGCAAGAAACACAGAGGTAAGGCTTGAGGTGTCCTCTAGAGAGCAGGAGTAGCTGAGGTTTTGATGCTGCCAAGTTTTTAGATCTGTCCTGGCCATCGATAGGATGAAGGCTGTTGCAGCCAACTCACCAGCCTTCGAAGGCTCAGAGTCTTACTTTCTTATGGAGAGGGTGGGACAAGGGAGGAGAATTATCTGGCTTCTGGACTAAGCAAAACCTCTGTGGCTGATGAGATCCAGGTCATGAGCATAACTCCCTAGAGAGCATGCACATCTCTCAGCATTGCTAGAACAGAACTCAAAGCAAATGCTCAACTGGTGGTGAGACAGAGGCAAGCCTTTTCTTCTATTGCACATAGAAAATGTGAATTCAGGCGATATAACTCCTGGCCTTACTCTAAAGTTTTGGGGTGTCTAACAAGTTGTTTAACTTCTTTGGGCTCAATTTCCTTACCTGTAAAATGGAGATTATAATAGTTTATTTCTCCTAGGCTGTTATGAGGATTAATATGTAACAGATATGCCAAATTGATAACTCTTGGAATGTAGAAAGCATTCAACAGTTGTTACAACAGAGGGAAGGTCCCTTGTAGTACAGGCTTCTAAGTGTTCTAGGAACCCATTGGCATTAGTGTACAAGTTAGTGTTGTTGTGAGAGGCTGTATTCAGCTTCAGTGAATTATTTTTTTTGGAGATTCTTTCAGTGTGTTTGCCTATTTTATGATGGATGATTTGTGAGCACACCTGCCCACACCATACTGACTATTCAGCATTTTTTGACCAAAAATGATTGAACCCCATGCCCCACCCTCCCTATTTACCCAATCTCACCCCAAGCAACTTTTTTTCCCCCCAGGATAAAATAAGTCCTCAAAGGGAAATGTTTTGCCAGCATAGAAGAGGTGAAACAAAAAATGGCAGAAGGACTTAAAGGCATTAAAATCGACAAGTTCAAAAACCGTTGTGAGCAGTGGAAAAGCATCTTGATAGGTGTATTGCATCAAATGGAGAGTACTTTGACAGTGACTGAAGTTTAAACATCTAAGAATAAATACACAGTTTTTTATTTTAAAAATTAAGTTTTTTGGGGTCCCCCTCATATTTATTTTTATTTTATTAATGAACATTTATATGCAACATACAAGGTACTGTCCTATGCACTTTATCATTATTACTTAAATCTCAGTAATGCTATAAGGTTGTTACTACAGAAGCCATTCTATATTTCTTTCTAAAATGACAATATGTGATTCAGAAACATCCTCAATCAGGGAGGTGATGTAGGACAAGGAAAAACTGGGAGAAAAGTTTGGACGAGAAACTAAATGTTCATTTATGGGACCTGGAAACCTGTATTTAATCCAACCAAAAGGTAGCGATCCTGTCTATGGTCTCAGATGTAAGCAGGACAGGAAGCGGAGATGAGTGTTTCTTCATTTTCCTTCAGTTCTTTAAAACCCTTCATCATGCCTGTTTTCTCTGTGGAGCCTCCCCTATTGATCCTTCCTGGATGCATCTCATTGGGGGGGATCTCTTAGCACATGCTTACCTGGTCATATTATCCCTGCTAAGTTGCCCTTAAGTCATTGTTTCCTTCTAGACGTTTTAATATCTCTGTATTTTGTGACTTTTCAGTAGCACATACCTGGTTGGAGTCTAAGTTCTTTAAAAATAGAGTCATGGGCTTTTGATTCTTTGGGACTCCTCAGAATGGCTTGGTCAGAGGCACATGGCATATGCCCCTGACTCACTCAATAGATAGATGGTTGAATAACATAAAGGAAAGAACTCTTCCACTTGCATTGTCCCAATGGACTCTAGGTGACTGTCTAACAATGATCTATCTCTGGTCCTACTGTGTGTGAATAATAGAACTAGAAAGGCCCAAGTAAGCATTTTTTTAAAAAGCAATGTGGCCTTGGGCAAGTATTTTAAACTTCCTGTGCTTTAATGAGAATAATCATATCATTCCCTTAGGGTTACGGTGAAGTTAAAATGAGACAATGCATTTAAAGTGCTTAGCAAACATAAAGTGTTTATTGATGAGAATTATTACTGTAATTACTGCATTGGCAAGAGGTTTGGAATTTAAGGCTATTATTTCCACACAAAAAAATTACATGCCTGTTTTTTATTTTTTATTTATTTTTGTTTATTTATTATTATTATTTTTTGAGTTGGAGTCTCACTCTGTCGCCCACACTGGAGTGCAGTACCGCTCCCGCCACCGCAGCCTGGCTTGCTGGGCTTCGCCGATCTTTCCCCTCAGCCTTCCAAGTAGCTGGAACTACAGGCGTGCGCTACCACGCCCGGCTAATTTT